GAGGCTCTTGGAGGAGGCCCAGTCTCGGTAACGGGATTTCGTGCCGCATATGATGATGATGACTTTGGTTATGAACAATAATTTTGATTGGAAGGTTTGAAGTCTTGGTAAGTGGTTCTTTTTGGTGATACCATATGTTAGCGAGGAGTGCTATGTTTCCATATGAAATACTTTACTTTATTAATAAGTATGCGTGTTCATTCAGTTTCTGTATTAGTTTCAGTTTTGAATATTTAAAAAAAAATGTTTCTAAATATTAAGAATACATTTTTTGTTTAAATTTCGTATTATTCAAATGTTCTATATTTAATTATGATAATGTCTCTTTAAACATCGAAACCGTCTTAATCATACCGTTACCTTTTATTGAATAATGGGAAAATATTTCATTATCAAAGTTACAGGATGTTGAGACTTTCTCCAGTTTAACTAACTAAGTTTAGGCCGAGTCGATAATTCCTTAATATTATAAGAAAATTATTCTTGTTTCACCTTTGTTAGCTGCCGAAAATACCTAAGTTAATTTATATAGGGAGGTTAGTTCTTAAATTTGAATACAAGCGTCATTAGCTTCTTGCTCGTGACACGTCCACAGACAGCTCTGTGTTATAAAGTCCTAACTCAATGTATACTCCTCCAATTGAACATTAGTAATTTAAAGTTTTATCAAATTAAAAGTTGAATTTACTTTTCAACTACCGCTATATTGTTAAGGAATTAGTGAGAAACTTTTAAAGGATATAATAAGATCTGAGTTTATCCACTGCTAAATTGAGCTGAGTTGGTTTCCTTTGTCATCAATACTATTCGAAGCTCTTTTGAAGTATGTTTCGAAATTCGTTGAATATTTCATCTGTGACGAAAGCAACTTTGGTTGAGTACTAAAAAGAAAAGGTACATCGGAGCAAACTATCTATTGTAGAAGACTTCAACATTTGGCCCTATATTATAGATCTACTATAGTTGGCATAACTATTGCAGCTCAAGTCTAGTCGTTTGGTTGTGTAATGAAATCTACGAAAATGTATGCTAAAGATTAATTATACATGCTATTACTTATGGTGAAATATAACATATATACAATAGGTATAGATGGGCGTAATAATACAGCGATTTATCGTCCAAAAATTCCTATTCTACCTAAACATACAAATAGCAGTAGTAATAAATTGTGATATAAATTTTTACAACATGAAGTTTTTAAACTTTTTAACATAACAGATATCTTTATTAAACACCGAATCATCAGCCCTTGGAATAAAGCTTGAATAAAGTTAATATGCTTGATAACGTAAATAATTTTTTTCAGCTATTTTTATTTAGCTTCTAACGTTGACTGACGTTATAGTAATTTCAAATCGAAACGTAATATCCTTGTAGTAGAACTATAAATATGACAAGGGTATCTGCTTTATAATTATTAAAGATTTTATAGTTTAAGAACTTTTATTGTTTTGTTTTTTTAAATCAGCTTTAAATCTTATCAATCAAACCAATTCAGGATTCTTAAAAGGTATAAACATGTACCATACGATATACATATATATTGTAGAGGAAGTATTTCCTTCCTCTATAATACAACGGTCAACTATTAAGTATTCAATATTTATTTATTTTTTTTATTATTATTTCCTTCCCTGCCTTTTAGGCTAATGGGGTTTTCTCGGGCCAGTGGGTTAGGGCGGGGATAAATGTCAGAGAAAAAAGCCCCATCGGCAACCGGACGCGAACTCGGTATTATTTTAATCAAATTATCTCGTATATCTGGTTGCCGAGCAAAACCCTGCAAACGCGTTAGCTCGCTTGGCCAACCCGCCCATTTTAATGTATTATATATACTGTTTATAACTACTTATATTATACACTTAGATCAAAACCTATAATAGTAGCCTTTCCTATGAAAAAATATATTCATATTCACAGAGTTGTTACTTTATTGCTAGTTTACAAAGATATATTCAGTTGTAAATATTTTAATTATGTAAACGCTCTTCTGATTCAGTTAATTAACTAAGGTCGTTAAGTTTTAAATTAGTTAATTACTATGTATTTCAAATTTTTATCGAACAATTAATGCACTTTTTTCATCATCAATATGATGAATTAAATTATTAAAATCTTACATTGTATGATAATTAGAGGCTTCTTATACATTCCTTTACAAATAACTAGTTATAATGAGTATTGTAGATATTTGAGATTAGCTATTAAATTTATTTTGTATACTGTCTTTTAAAAATCAATACTTCAAAAATAGTTTTTTTTCATAATATAGATTCGTTCATTGAAAAAAGAAAAATATATAAAGTTGGTATTTTTATATCAAGCTACTGAAAATTACTATATACTTTTTATTTTATTATTATTATTTTTTTAGATAAATTTGGTTCAATTTCTTTCTGAAACTCGATAAAAAAAAAGTAAATCTAATATATATGATTTTAATTTTCTCAATTTTTTAGTGCAATTCAATAATAGTGCTATAAAATAATAGTTAAATTAATAAGTAAGTTTAATTAATTATTCCGCTCGTGGCCATGAACTAACCAGGATGGAAGTTTCAAGATGAATTTCTGAGGATCGCTTAGAAAATTAATATTAATTGACACAGGTAGGAATCAAACTCCCTCCAGAACTGAGAACGCTTGGACTTTTGTTTGCTCCATCGTTCTCTGTTATCACATCCTCATTATGAACATGTAACGGCACTTGTTTACTTACATTGAAAAATGACTAATAATAACAGCATATTTTTTTCTTTATTTATTGTATGATAACAAAATCTGCCAGAAATATTAAGGACTAAAGGTATCCATTCATACATTCAAGAAAACACAGCATAATAGACATAAACATTGACAAGTTACTAATTATAAAAAGCTAATTAGCGCAATCATGTGTTCTTGTTTTTGAAACGTGTGGTACAAAACAAAATTTATAAAAATTTATAAAAAGTTTTTGTATAATATAATATATTAAACAGTATTGTCCTGAAACCTGTCTTCCCGCAGATTATGCCGGGTCAGTGGATAAAGCTTTTGATCGTTGGTCCGAAACTATTCCTCCATCCGCCCCAGAGAGCTCTCATCCTCGCCTACATACAACACCCCGTAACAGATTATTATTTTGAATTTTTAAAAGTATATATATATATATATATATATATATGTATGTATATATATATATATATATATATATATATATATATATATATATATATATATATATATATATATATGTTAGGGAGGGAGAGAAGAGGGTGTTGAAGATTTAATAATTACTTAAATTGATCAAATGACAAAATTTTTATTTTGAATGTATGGATCTGAAAATCCTGCCATATGTTTCTAGTAAAGTAATAACTTAACAATTAATATTTTTGGAGGGTTTATTATTCTTAATACTCACACATGCATCTTGCATCTAGAGATGGCCGTTGATAATCGACATAATCAAAATATCGATATGTACCATCGGATATTTAATATTTCACCATCTAACGTATCTACTTTGATAATATCGACTATCGATATCGTTCCTTCGATATTTTAGTATTTTAATTTAAAACTAAAAATTTCGCTGATTTAGCCCGAGCCAGTACCTATCTTTTTTATGATAAACTCCAGTCCCATCCGAATCCACTTGATTCCAGTCCTACTTCTTCCCCCTAAGCATCTGAAAAGAAGATGGCCTCGTGATCTTCTCACCTAGAATTAAATAGGGAGTCCTATCACTGGGCAGTATCTCTTCAAGTCTGTTCATCTCATTATTTCTAATGTGTGCATTTTTACTGGTTGTATTGTTTATACAGTTGTAAATTTCATTAAATAAATAAAAAAATAAAAATTAAACTATTAACGCGGAAAGCGCTAGGCATAATTCATAATCTATGAAGCAGATCGTTATAAAAAAAATATATACTCATGTTACCTATTTCAAATAGAATGTAGTGAGTAGTGCAGGAAAATATCGATATTTCAATGGCTATCTTTAAGTAGAGTTGAACAGCGTGCGTGGGACTCTTCTCATTCAGTAAACTCAATTTGTCTAAATTTGTCAGTTAGAACCTTCTGAAACCAAGGCCACTTACTGCCAAAGGAATCTATGCAGGATGTAAATAAATTATCATTTAGCTGAATCCGATATATTCGTGAATAGAAGGTAGAAATAGAAATAGAAAATAACTTTATTCTGGGTTATTTTAAGTCCCTTTAGAATAACAAAATAGTACATAATTAAAAGACTACATCTGGCCAAAATAAAACCTATAGTTGGTACAGTTGGTTGACTGGAAATTTATGGAAAAAAGCTCAGGATGAAGAAGGTGGTCGGAGCTAGAAAATTAATTTTACTAAGGAGGGGTTGAAGAATGTTTATATTGATATTCATAATTCAAAATGTTTATAATATCAAAGAAAATATCAGATACTGATTTTTTCAAAACGAACCGGAATTTCAAGTCCGATTTTATGGTATCAATATTTATAAGTAAATATTAATATTGATGGTAATATCAATATTGGGGTTTCAAATATCCGATCCCTATTTACAACTGGAACCCAACCCTGAAGATCTGCGTCGACTCTGTTCTAACACTACTGTGCTTCAGAAGATAGAAACTAGCAATTAGCTAAACATACACCCCTCTCATAAACCCATTTTCCAACCAAATTTTTTAAATATATTTCATCAAAAGAGGTAGGTCTCATAACCATTTTCAGAAAGAAGGTCCGACATAATAAATAAACTAAAACGAATTGGATTGAATGAAATAGAAAAAAAAATATACCCCTTGGACCTCCAATATGCCACAAAAATTATAACTCCAAATCCCCAAACGTTTACCAAAGGTATTACAATGCCTGCAGATTGTAAAGAAAAAAAATTATAAAAATAACCGTACCTTACATGCATGTTTGGATTTATCTTGAGGTAATCTGATGTAATATACGAAGCTGTTAATTTGTGGCCATTGACAAATTGTTAGGATTTGTCTTCAACTAGTAATCGATTAGTTTGAATTGCCTTTTGTCTCGACCATACAACCTCCAGAAATGGACACAATACGTCTTGTTCGATGCCACACACACACACAGACGGAACTCTCTCCCGTTATTTGCCGACGCGCGGTGGCAGTTAGGCGTTATGAAAGCTAATTGCTTGAGAGAAAAGCTTTTAAACAGTGCGTAGCCATTGTTTGCCGATATAGAAGCCATAAACAATGCCCTAAGTTGCGCGTCCCCTGCCGACGCCTCTGATTGAGTGCCTCTATGTGCCTTTCTCATTAGTAACATTACTACCTCTTCCGCTGCCGCTTGTGCAAGCACAGCTATGTTCTTGACACGTTTGGCTTTATAAAATGATGCAATCACATCTGTACTGAATCCGAAATGTTACTCCCTTGAAACTTCTCCTTTTAAATTACAACCAATTATTGCATATTTATTTAAGATTCTCCAGAAATGAAGAAATGAAAAAAAGGAACTAGTTGATAAAAAAAAAAAAAAATGTCCATGGAGTGCTCATGAAATATTCCAGTTTTTGATCTCGTAATTGATTAGCATTTCGTAATTATACATTCCGTTTGAATCAAACGCTCAGATAGGGTTTATTTATTTTTAATTTATTTACCTCCTTCCGAATTCTAGTGAAAAAGTTAATGTTCGATTAGTGAATAATATAAATTCATGAAAAATGAATAACCCTTTTGATATCATGCTTCAAGAGCAATATTTAAAAAATAATAATGTGTAACAATCATTTATGATATACATAAAATGAGATTATGGACTCCAGAGCGATGTATTTTGATGATAAATCAATCAAACGAAAGGGAATTTCATGGAGTTAAATTTCTACTGCTTTTATTAAAATCATTGAAAACATTGGGAGATTTCAAAACTTCGATGTTTTCAAAAGTCGACAAATCGAGATGGGATAAATTGTGTTTCGACGATTTCATCGCATACTTAGTGTGAACTATCGATGACTAAAAGATTCCATTTTCGAAATAAATCGTAAATCTTATCGAAATCCTCTTAGGTTTTATAGTGTCGCCAATCGTGTGTGTTTAATAGATTATTTCAATGATATCTTGTTATATATATATCCGACGAATAACATGTTAAGCTAATGTTTCCCAAGTCGCTTTCATTAGGGAGGAATAAGAATAGATATCTCAGTGGGATGTACTAGTTATAGTTTTAATATCGTTATGAAATCCGTGTAAACATGTATGTTAATTAAAAATAAAAATCAACTGCATTAAATTAATGGTGTTAGGATTTCAAACGGTTACGCTGGAGTGTGACTTGTCAGAAACCGAATTCAACCGCCAGGTTTTTCCTCAACTTTCATTGCGGTACCATCCTCAGAAAGGCATCTTCTCTTTAAATTTTCTCAATTGGTATTAAAGCCCAGAACAAACTGAGCTCGAACGCTTACTTTTTGAGAAGGAAATAATTTTTTTTTTTTTTTTTTAATGTTGCATATCTTTGGATAAACTAATCGGCTTTAGTTTATTTATTCAAGTTTTGATTTTAGGGGTTTAAAGGAAATTTAAGTTGGTTCTATCCACCTGACGGAGCTGTTATGATGGTATTTATAGTATTATTTAACCTTTGGCGATTCATCTTCATAGCATTAGCGTAGAGCACACCTCAGCGGCGTTACGTGATGATTTATAGGTAATTTCTTAATACCCGTGCCCTGTTCCCTGTAATCTTTCCATCAGTTATGGCAACGTTGTTCTGTTATGGTTGTAAATAGGAACATTTATCCTTGACCCCTCCTGCCATGATTTCACTGGCTTTAAGCCGTTTTCCAAACTTAGTAAAGTGTTTTTAGATACCCTTCACTTGATGGAGTTCGAGAGTGATTTTCCTCCCTTCGTTATTTTGTGACCTGCCTAGTCTGACCAGAAATGTTTACAAACCCAAATTCTAATGAAATTTTGTCTGCAGGTCTTTACAGTGTGACTGTTGCTAAGGTATTATTACTTCTTCGACTTATGATTATTATTTTGCTTCTATTTATTTTACATTTTTTGTACACATAGTTTCAATGTTATCCTACCTCACTATAACCAATGTCCAAGAAACAGATTGTTGTAATATTCACATTTAATTTAAAATTTAAAAAAAATTAAACTTTTTAGTAATTTAAAAGTAGCAATAAATAATGTTTAATAGTTTTAGAATTTTTTAACTTTAGGGCGTGAATGTACATAAACATTTAATGTGAGTCAAAATGAGATGGATAGGATTAATGAATAAAATTTCAATTGACTTGAAAGAATGGTCGCTTATTGTCAATACAACTGTCTAATCCTATTTCATTATTTTTTAACATTTTAAATATATATGGCTGGAGAAGACAAAGTACTCATTGTAAATTGTACTAATTGTACCAATTGTACTAATTGTAAAGTAATCCATATTTTACTTGTATTGAAACACCTTAAAATGTGATTTACTTCTGATATACAATTAATAGCTTTCTTTTGAGTGGCTAGAAATTTATATTCTGGATGTGAAACTGTTTTATTTCCTCACCAAGGCGCTTTCTAATTTCATTTGACCAGTAGTCAAAAAAAAAAAAGATATATATATATACATACCTGGGGTTTGATCTCTGTTAAATACATTTTTCATTTTCATTTAATAATTATACTCAGTACGCTATCTTGTTAGATTAAATCTTACTCGTCTGATTGATTTCTTCCTACTTATTGCTATGGCAACTTCTTATTTAGGATGCAGATAAGAATCTCAAATTGGACATGGGCTCAATGATATTTACGATATTGTAGCATACTCTTCTCGTTCAATGGAATGATGTCTCTTTCGACAATTACTCCTTCCCTTGTTGAAGGATGGCCGTTGACAAGAAGATGGTAGAGGTGTGACATCCTAACGATATTCTAATGGTGAGGGCGGTAGCAGGAGGCGGCTGTGGCCCAGATTCCGTCCCATTGTCACCCATAACGGGCCGGTCCCTCCATGTCATCCTTTTAGGATGTCTTAGTCTGTCTCCTCTTATTCTTCAATTGTTGAATAATTTTATTTATTTATGCTTCTTATCAGAGGTGCCCAAAAAGGGGTGGCGTGACACATTTAAATTTCTTTTGGGAAGGTGCACATATTACATTGTTTACGGGTTTTTGAATTTTCGAAATAGTACGTTTTTACAAGAAATCTGAAGTTTTGAAGGTAACCATACATTTATAGGGTTTCAATTCAACAAAACAGAGAAATATATATATAAAAACTTGGAACAACCAACAAGTGTAATTAAATTTTAACTACAATCTATATTTCAACTTCTGACTTTCACTCACACTGTTTTTATGAAGAAAAGATCAAGAATATTTTGTGGAAGGAGGTAAGATGTGTACAATCGACCTTAGGGGGTGGTCACCCCTCCCTCTCATCGGAAGATACCAATAGTTTATAGGCTATATTAGTAACTTGGTTATGAACTGGTTGTTTGTAAATCGAAAATATTCTAGCTTGGGGGTTATTGAGATTTTCGTTTGGTAACATTTTCGTAACATATAATTATTCCGCCTGTTATCATGTTTGGATATAATCATTTTTGAGACTATATTTATTTTCCTAGTTATCAACATCTGACTAAACAAAAAAAGGTGTCCACTATTTCTGAGTCTGAATTACCTCTTTTCGTTCCTGTTTAAGATAACTATAAAACTTTAGGTAGCGATTATGAGCGTTTGATAGATTTGTTATAAACATTTATATTAAAAAATTTAGGATCAGTGAATTGTCAATGTAAACAAAATAAAAATAAAAAATTTGTGTAAACATGTTTTGTGTCATAGACATGTTTTGTCTTAACTACATAAGACATTGGCTATAATAAATGAAGGAGGAAAACTGATTAAAACTACTCAGAAAAAATATTTTATATTAACAATTATTAAACTTGTTGATTTTTTTTTCATAAAAAAAATAGTATTAAAAATAAATAAATAGAAAATAATCCTAGATTATTAGAAATACAATAGTATACATGGCATACATCTTATATTCCAGTCTTTAAAGAAGAAAATATTTAGTTTTCTTGTGTTCGTATACCCTCATCTTTATAATTATCTATTTTAAGTTAAATGAAAGCACACGTTTTCCTGTTTGCCAGAAAGGTTTCAGTCTGAACGCATCTTAATTATTTCGGTGTTAAATGTATTCTAAATTCCAGATCATTTTTCGTGGAATACTGTTTTATATGTTGAACAAATAAAATTAATTTACATGATGAAAATAATTTGTGTAATATCAAAATTAATTAAATTAAGCTTAAACTTAAAATTTTTAATCACTTTCCCTCCATTTAAAAATTAATGAATACAAAGAAAAGCCAACAGAGTTTTAAATTATTGCGTAGATTCGACATTTGGTATGTTATCTTCCCACTTGCACTCCATTGTGACCATTGGTCCTCGTCATAGTGAGTCAAATTCATACCTAAGTAGGTGTGGGTTATAAAGCTGTTACAATCATTTATCAATTTTCCAAACAAGGATTCTTCTGAAGCAAAACAAAAACATTAAAACAACGACCTTGGAAGTAATACAAAATATTGCATTAAAGATTGATTTAAGACTCCATCCATCTAAGCCTTGCGACTTCGGTTTGTTTCCTTAAATGAATCTGGGTCATGAAGAACAACATTCTCGCAATTAAACTCAAGGAGGGATGAACTCATCAAGGGCTTATCAAGAATAAATATGGGAGATTATACATATTATAACATTATATGATTTAATATGACTGTTCTCGATAAAGAACTAAATAACTAAAATATTGTATAAATATATTCTAAAATTAAACTGTTTATATATATGATCAAAGCGACCAATTTTACCACAAATTTAAAAAAATTAAATATAAAAGTTTGTGTTTAGCTGTTAGCCATGAAGCTTTTTGACTCTGTATTTTGCAAGTGCTTTTCCTTAACAACTGTAAGAGGTGATGTGGTCAGCATTTAAATCTGGTCCAGTTACCAGATTTAATATTAGACCTGCTTATGCATAAACATTAGACCTGCTTATGCATCAAATCAAAACCTTATCAATTATCAAACAAAAAAATAAATAAGCAAATATAGTAATTATATTTTTCAATGTAAAAATTATTATTTCAGCTTGAGTTGTTTATATACAATGACTTTATTAATTCAACGATTCTTTATGGTGCAACGTTAGTCTCCTGAATCGAATATTCAAGAACGTTTTAAGAGGTAGTACGCCTATCCGAAGGTTAAAAAATTGAAGTCCAAGATAAATTAACATCTCCAAAATCAAGACATTGTTCACAAATTATAAAAAATTTGCTTACGTTTATCAATAATAAACCCACTTTCAGTCTTTCGACTATCATAGCAATATCACTGACTGCCCAAAACCATTATTTTATAGCACAGTATTTTCAATATTAAACTTCGTTCTATCAGTAGTAGGATCCTAGTAGTTTTAAACACATGCAAGAGAAAAAATCTTAACTATAATATATAATTATAAAACTCAAAAACAAAAAAATAATTTCTTGTACGACAACTTTAAAAAACATTAAATTAAAGGTCATCCCCTTAGATTGGAGTTTAATAAATATCATTTGAAAGTTAAGTTGCTAATAACTTACGTCATGTAATTAATTACATTGACATCCTTATGAGCGTTTGTTTTTGTTCGGAATGAAAATAATCCGTTGCAATACAATCACAGGTTGAAAGAATTAAGATCCCTGTTTAATGCAGTGTGAAAGAGATATTATACGCTCAGGTTATAAAAAAAAAACAGCTTCATGCACCCAAACACACATTCTAAGGTTTTATTTTAGTTTTCATAATTTTTTACTTCAACTACTTTTTCTAAGCGGCTGCCTTATTGTCGCATTTTTTCTGCCTTTTTTTATTATCTTATATTCATTCCTCTTTATCTCCTTCCTCTTAAACCTCCTTATCGGTCGGGTATGGTTTCGAATTCCCAAGAAGGGATTATTATAATATTTCAAACTGATGATCCTGTCATCCAGTGAATCGAAACCTTCAATAAATTATTTCATAATATTATATTGAATCAGTCCATAGTGTATCTATTGTTCTTAATTCAAAACATTAACCTGGATAGTCTGTAATTGAAATGTTTAATCTTATAAATGAAATAAAATTTTTATCATTTTTACCTTTTATTAGTTTACTCATTATTCATTAGTGGTGTTAAAATGTTTCAATAATTTATTATTTATTAATAAATTGAAAAAAATATATTTTTTGTAAAAATTACTTTTTAAAATATACGTATACATTATTAATGCAATAAAGAAGCTAGAGCAATATTTTATTATCTAAAATTTTAATAATATATTCTGTTGTATTATACAAACAATTCTATATTTTTTTTTACAAAACAATACCATCAACAACAATGACTAACTCAACAGGTATTCATTATATATATATATATATATATATATATATATCCCTGTATATATAAAATATATATATATATATATATATATATATATATATATATTTAAATAAAAATCTACAGCTAATACAGACTTTTATAAGTATGGATATGTTAATGAACTAGGATTTTGAAGTGTTGATTTGTTTAAAATGCCTAAGTGAAAAGGACTGAAATGTTACGTCTAATAAAATTTTATAATATTTTATTTGTTTTTTTTATAATTATTGATTAATAATTTATTAATGATTAATGACAACATACAATTATTTCTATTGAAGTTACGACTACTTTTGGAAGACTCAAAGCTTTTGCAAAACTGGTAGCGAATTCTTTGACAGTCTTAAGCTTAGTTCATATGGTCTTAAGATTATTAAACAAGAATTTTCTCTAAAAGTGAGTACTTTGTAACTATTAAAAAAAAAAATTCATAATTTTACGGAAATACATAACTTAATAATTTAAAACATAACATGAATGATGATCATTTAGATGCATGAAAACGCAACTTAGTTTGCTAAGCTCTAATGGCATTACTTTAATAGTTATTCAATGATCACTCCCTATTGAATAAATAACATGACGGAATAAAAAAAAAAAAAAAAGTATTTATTAAAAGTAATTTACTGCTCCTTTGCTGCCCGGAAATTAACGATACGTTTCTGACGGACTATACAAATGTCTCTTAAGTTTCGTATGCCATGAGTGTTACGTTACACCAATGTTTGAATAAAAAATCTCTTGTGGCAGAAAAATATTTTCAAGTACATCTGTTGTTTAAAGAAAATTGGTTATTCCAAATTGATCATGTCCAAACTTTTATTTACATTGCCTTTCTAAATTACTTCTAGAAGTACTGGGATTATTAAACACCGAGATATTCATCAATTATTACTTCTTGTTTTCTTTAAGTTGAATCATTTTGTAAAACAAAGAAACCAAAATCAACAACTGATATTTTAGGGATTAGGTTCTTTTTTCAACGTTCATTTTTATATTGTTAATAATACACTATAAAAGTTGTATTTAGAACCTTCTTTTTACTTTCTGTAATTACATTTACTTGTCCCTCATTGAAATAAAATATGACGTTGATATACTTCCTCCTGAAGCTGTTGGGTTGAAGAAGACTCTAGAGATCAGCCTTGAACGGTTCCTGTTCAACTCCCAAATTACCGGAGGAGGAATGGATGGTCCCCCGTTATTGTCTGTTCATCATACTTAGCCTGACAGCCCAACCAGGCTCTCGTTCTTACTTTAACCCACAACTTCTTCACCCATTTTTCTTTTACTCGTTTAATGTCCAACAATTAGTTAACTTACCTTTATGGTTAATTGAAACTTCAGTCTTGTAATTTGTGTTTATCTACCATATCTGACTCTATTACAGATCATGTGTCAAGTAGAAGCTATATAGGGTAGCGATCCCTTACCCCTTTCAATGTAGACACATTTTAAAATTAAATAACAACAAATTAAAAGAAAAAAAAAGAAAATATTTCGGTTCGACTTTTAAAACGTT